AAAACACCTCTCCAGATAAGGGAAAGGCTTGGTGGGATTCCACACCATGTGTCTGATTTCAGACTGAGAACCAAACATGGTCAGGATGCATCCTGCCTATCACTACGTTTCTCTCAGTTTGGTGACGACAAAATGTGCTGTTGTAATGTTACATACAGAATTAACTAGTTGTCAATGATTGTGCTCAGCCTTATGTCACCAATTTTCAGTAAAACAGGTTAATACAGACCTTTACAGTACACAGCCTCTTTTTTTTTTTTTTTCCTCTTTCTCAATGGTTACCAATAATCAATTCACTCCATTGTCTATGATTAAGTTGATTCTTAAAGTAGATGTCTAGGCAATATGCTTGTCATAACGCTCAGGTTGTTCAGAAACTATTGCTTGACATCCCAAATTAACTAGAAAATAATTTGTATTTTGTTTTACTTTTTAGCAAATTAAACCTTCTCCCTCCAAACCCATTATTTGTGTACAAGTAAGAGAAAATGGAAAGTGTCTTGGCATACAGAAATTATGTAATAAAGTAAAAACCATTAAGTCCTCATCCTGATCCCCCCCGATGTTTTGCTGTTTGCCAGTATTTATGTAGATTACTGGCATCAACCTGCTTTACTCCTCTAATGAATCTAATAAGTCTGAAGTCACCCTGGATGGAGTATTTTATCCAACTGGCTTGATAGAAGTCAGACGCATAAAGTTCAAACTATTCAGGAAAGCAATAAATCAATTTTCTAACTATTATTAAGGAAATAAGAAAATATTCTCTATCTAAAGGCTGAATTAATAAATACAGCTGATAAGAGAAGGAAATCTAGAATACATTTCTTTATGTATCCTATAATTCAGTTTGTAGCAGCTTTTTGTCTCACTAAAAATCAGATTTAACGCAGAATATTAAGGTGTCACCTTTAACAGAAATACTAGTTTAATCCTTTTTGGACTAGTGCCACAGATCCTGTTCCGATTATAATTGTGTACAGATTTTGCTACATATAAACAGTTTTTCTGGAAGCACTGGTTCTTTTTGAAATACACGTGAACCCTGACTAGGTTTTAAACTAAATGAGTCCACATCATATAACATAGTCTATCTAAAAGCAGGGATGCAAGAACCTAGATGTCCTCGGTATTGACAGAAATGCTTGTTTATATACTAGAAATGTCTTTTTATGAGCTACTGTTGCCCTGGAAACCACTACTACAAATGAAAATTTTGTCTCCATGGAAAAAACCCCCACAACTTACTATTCGGTTATCCCAAAATTTGCCTTATCTTTTCCTGATCAACAGAAAGATGGGCAGTTGGATGTTCCCAGCTCTTAATTCCTCCTTCCTATTCTAAAATTATATCTTGCTATACGTTTTGCAATTCCTGATAGCAAACAGAAGCCAATCTTTTATTTCCTACAAACCTTCTTATCAAAAGCATAATTTACATCCTTTGTCTCAATAGGCTGGACAACAACAAAAAAAAGCCTTCATGGAAGTCATAAAGCTGTTTTCTGAAATTTCAGTCTTTTCATGTACCATTTGAAAGCATCCAACAGCTCTCTGACCAGTAGTGTCACAGTCTGAAATTCTTGGGAAACATAATGATCTTAAACTGTGTTATTTTGGGGCATTTATCAATTTTTCCATTGCTACTTAGTTGAATATAGTCTCCTAACTAGTGTTTCAGTGTCAGCACAGAATGTAGTAATTTTCTAGGTGGTTTCCTTTCCAGATTTTCCCCTATCGATGTTATTGCTTTTCCTAGACTTTGGTTCTTGATTTTTGCCCTGCATGTGGGAGGATGTGCCAATAGAAAAAATATAAGATCTATTCCAAGCCAGTGAGCAAAGAGGAAGATACATATATTGAACAACAGAAAGACAAAGCAAAAGATGTTGATCATCTGACAAGGCTGTGCCTGCTCAGGTGCTGTAAATCCATAAGGTACAAGGGCCTTCCGGCTTATTTTTGGGAGACTGCAACTTTTTTTTCCACTGTTTGTCTTTTGCATCAATCTACATTTTTATATCTGGGAATACATTCAAACAATATTGACCACAGTATCACAGATATGAATTTTTTTTTTAGTTTCCATTTGACTTCAGTTGTCTTGTAGCTCATTTCCAAAGAAAACATCCAATTGCACCATTCTATTTCTGATACCAAGACTAAGACAAAAAGAGGAATAAAAAAATCATCAGAGTTTCCTCTGAGCACTGACAGACAGTGGTACTGGGAGATGTGAGCCTAAAAATACTACTGTTCAATATGCAGACCCACTCTATGGATTTCTTGTAGCTACAGGTACTGGGCTGTTATCAAGAAAAATCTCTGGAGAGAAAACACAAATTCTAAAAGCACCAGAACCTTTGTAAGAGCACTGAGGGTTTAACCTTCATATGGCAAAAGCACAGTATGGAACTAAATAGATGCTATAAAAAACCTCTAGTAATACACATGGCCTGCTGTTGGGAAGATGTTCATGATGAGGGAACAGGTCAATGACATAATGATGGTCAGTGAAAGCTGTGAGAAGACATAAGATCCAGTGTGAGGTTCTATTATTTTCTGTTACCATGAAAGACTGTTTAAAAGGTGAAAGTCTGAGTCCTCCACAGACACTGTGACAAAAATTTCTCTTTCTCCCTCTCTTTTTGACATAATTGTGCTGTGTTCCTTTAAAAAAAGGACCAGAACTATTGGACTCTCTATAGGGAACATCTACTGGACCTGCTCAACAGGAGCAATGCCCAGAGGATGGAGCATATGGCAGGCAAGAGCATCCTGCAGAAAACTTGGCTATCACCAGATCATACAGAACAAATGCAACGTGGAACAGGGACTCGAGCAGTCCATTTACCCTCAGGGATGAGGGAAGGACATTTCCCAACAGAGGGGATAGATGAGAATTGGGCAGACTCAGCCATGGGGATTGAAACAGTCTGCATGTGAAGACCCACTTGCAAGGACAGAGGGAGCTGGAGTTGAAGGAATGGAGTGATTTAAAATGCTTTTAATTTCTGTTATGCCTGACTCCATTGCTTTGAATTCTTCCTATTTATAAAGTCTCTAGTTCATATTATAATGAAACAGCATTTTTCCACCCGAGTTTCAAAGCTTTTGGATCTTCTTTGTGCAGTTCATGGTCGAAGCAGATCCACCTTAAATGTCTGGCTGACACAGGGTCCTGCCACTGGCCAGCAGCCTCTGTAACATCCCCTCCTTATTTGCACTATCCTAATAGAGATGCTATAGATACCTGCTTCTGCTACACCGTGGGGCTGCAGCCTTGGAGGACTGAAGCAAGGGCTCTGAGGTGTTCCACATACAACAGCTGCCTCACAGACTCTCATGTTAAGCAGCTAAGTGAATCAATAGGAAAATAGTATTTCAAAGCCTGTCCTTTGTTTCAATAAAGTCCTTCAACACAGCTACATTGCCATGAGATATTCCTTTTTTCTTTTTTTAAACATAGCATTTCCTGATTAAAAGCAGCTCTAGCCATGATGAAAAAGGCAGGCACTAACTACTCTGTAAGACTAATTGTTCGGTATTGCTATCCAGTAGAAACTTGCAGGATAAATAATAGCTGAAAGCCTCCAATTATCATTTGGTATTTTTCCTGAACCTAACTGGGAGAGACTGCTTGGCAATTTCCAGTGCCTTCCACCAGCTGAGCTGATTAGCCCATGATCAGTGCTGAGCAATGTAACTTAACTTGCCTGTCACTGGGGGCATTTGCTGCCAGCTGAGCATGCTCACACGGACAATTAGCAAGCCTCAGCCAACACGTGATAACTTGTTAAGCTGCAGTAATGTTTATTTTTTCCTTTCAAGCCTCATACTAAGAAGCAGTGTGAAGCAAAAGAGGTTTTGAGAACTAAATGAGGGAAATCTCCCCTATAAAGGAAAAAAATATGATCCCCCCCAGCTTGCACATTAATACTGATAGAAATCCTTGCAAAGTGACTTGTTTTGCTCTAGTCAGTTTGCAGTTCTGTGTAGGCCTTGTTCTAAGAAGGGGAATTTACAATGAATTTACCAGAACATCCCTATTTAAGGCTTAAACTAAAAACATTAAAATATAATACATATAAAAGACCTGTAATCCCATTACAATAGCTATACTGAATTCAATAGATACACCAGAGTACTTACTACAATACAGTTAAATTAGATGAGCTACTCATTTTGGCCATACATCACTTTTTAAAGTAAAATAGAAAAAAAGGTTGAAATAGGTCAAAATAAATTATTTAAAGCTAATTTATTATCTCTATTAGAATTCTGTCACCATGCCCTATCATGGGAACATACAATTTCTGTGCATTTTGTGAACGTACTAATGAGAATGCACTCTGGCTCTGAAATAATTTTGATTTCAGTGATAGATGTGAAAGTTACTTGAAATCAGCTTATAATTAGCTAAGATTCTTAGTGTAGTGGTAATAATCATAACATGAATGTAACTGAACATTTTGGTATGGTGAAAAAATGTTGTATCTGAACTTGTAGTTTTATTAACACCAAGCCACTCCTTCCCCTACTTTCTTCATACTGCAGGTACAATTTACATTTTTCTTCCAAGTCAAATTTGAAGAAGCTGCTCCATGTTCAAGAATTTTTCACTTCAGTGGACTCCCCCAACACCACAAGCCAAAAAAACCCCCACAAAACCCCCCAAACCCTATTTTCCACTATAACAATTTACTTGCATCACATAAGGATTTTAAGTATCAATGAAATGAGACTTAAACCTTAGAGAAAGGTCCTATGTATCCTGTTAGAAGGTAAGCTTAAGTGAAATAAAATGAAAATTTTAATTCATGAATACAAGGGTTAACACCAACTTCCCTTAAACACATCATCAGTGCTATTAAACCACACGGACTAAGAATGGAACAAAGCCAACTGAAACTAGTATTCCTACGGCACAGGCAAATCTGAAACTGGAATAAAAGAGGCACAAGACAATCAACTGTTCAAATTAGATAAGACAAACTTACGCTTGTTGTGTAAGCAGCTTCAGGATCATCCTCTAGCACTCGTGACAAACCAAAATCAGAGACTTTACACATGAGGTTACTGTTGACCAAGATATTACGGGCTGCCAGATCGCGGTGTACATAGCCCATGTCTGAGAGGTACTTCATGCCAGATGCAATCCCCCGCAGCATGCCCACCAGCTGGATGACTGTGAAGTGGCCATCATGTTTCTGCAAGTAAAGATGCAAGTTCAAAGAACAAAGCTACTTTTCATTAACTTTGTACTGATGCTATTAACTACAGCTCATATTTAAAATATGTTTGTAACCAGCCAACCTGCCCGTTGAAAGCTTGTTTTTTCAAGTATTTAACTTGGTCAGCAGCACAAGCTATCCTATCTCTCATTGTGCACTCTTATCCCCATTTCTTCCACATTTTCACACACTCCACAATCTTTCTACTCACAGCATTTAATGTCTTTTATCTTCAGTTAAAAGAACACTTTCCCCAAACACTATTTTTAATACAAGAATGACAATGCACAGAAAAATCTTCTCTTTGTCTCTTACTCCATGGCCTCAGGAAACAAGAGCCCCTCTTTATTACCTCAGCCTCCATGAGGTACTGCTGTTACCTCACTTTTTGCTTTTTTGGGGAGGGTTGTGGTGGGTTTTGTTTGGTTTGTTTTAAAAACCACAGCAAACAAACCTGGAAAAAGTTCGGGGCTCTACCTTCTGTCTGTTCTGCACCTAACACCATATAATCTCTGAACACTAGATTAAAAAGATTTGTGCTGAAATTCAGAGGTCATGTAGCTTTTCCGCAGTCTTCTTGGCTGACTAAGCCCTTTAAGCTCAGGCCCATGAAAGCATTAATCTGCTTAACTCCTGCTGAAATCTATGGGACTTGAACATGTAAATAAGAGTTATGTTGTTAACCACGCTTGTCCATCTGGTCAGTCTTGGTGGGCTTCAGTTTCCCATCTGCAACATTAAAGTTAACACTTCTGTCCCTCCTACATCTGAAGGCCCCTGAATTATGTGGCAGTGGAGACCAAGTGAGTAGCTGTATAGAAATCTGATTATGGGCTCTTTGCCTGGTTTAGGTCTGTCCTATCTACCATTTACAGCAGACTGCTTACAGCAGTATTTTTGTGACCTCAGCTGGCAGACATTTAGCTTCTCATGGATTATTCAGTGAGCCAGGCTTTTATGTTAGCAGGCACAGCAAAACAAAAACAAACAACTCTTCCCTGCAAGCAAGTTAACTTTCCATTTCTCTTTCAATACTTTCAGCACTGCACTACAGACAAGTACCAGGGTTCTGATCAGCATTCAGGACATTTCTATTGCTTAGCTCATACATTTAAGCAAGATTATTTTTGTAGGGGAGAAGTTTACAGTAAGTTCAGTAAACTCATTAGATTCAACATAGTAACAGACTGAACTATACAGACATGCTTAACTTTATCCCTGATCAGCAAAGTAATTCAGCATTTCCATTACGATTCAATGGTTTGGGGCCTATATCCAGCTAGTCAGGATATAAACATTTAAAGAAATAAGGAATTAGTACTCAGATGTAATTAAGGGTACCAAAACCCCCACAAACAAACCACAAAACCCCAGACATGGAGAAATTTGGTGTTACTTGCCTCTCATGTTATTAATCTATCTTCTGAGATGAAGCAACACTAGACCAAGACTTGCCTCTAATATATATTGTACATATTCTTAAATCAAGAAGTTACATATTTTTTTAATTGATAAACCATTTAGTGTGCATAACACACTGCTAAATTGAAAAAGTTGTTTGCCTGTGAAGAAATTGGAGGAACTAGTTCCTAAAGTCATTATTCAGTTAAGCTCTATTGAGTACAAATAGAAGGACAGATAAACTTAGCAAACAGAAAAGGCAGAGACAATGTGGATTCTGTAGTTCATAGAACATACAGAGTGTCTTTGAACTCTTTCAATTCCTTTTGTAAAATCAGTTGGAAGAAAAGCCCAAGTGCAGCAGAATATCAAAACCTGCATTACGGGCAACATTCACCAGTTACTGACCAGTACTGCTATGTCAGGTTATAACACAAGAGAAAACCCAGAAAGAAAATACTAAAAGGAAAACATGCATGGTTGCTACACGGTTAGGTTTCCAAGCTGCTAGTCTAAGCCAACATATCAGAATGCAAAAAATTCAGATACTAACACACCCTATCAGCTGGAACACCTCACAGTCCCATCATACCTTCCAATAAACTTGTATTTAAGCCATCAGTGGCCAAACACCCCAGCCATCTCCCAGATTTCTCCAAACAAAGCATATTTAATGACACTTTGAAAGCAGCAACTTTTCCCCTTGAATATTCTCACTGTTCCCTCTTGTGGCAGTGCTCTACAGCCTTTTTGTTTCTAAATTCCCCATACAAATATGGAGGAAGATCTCTCTAGTAATCATGTCACACCTATAAGAAACCCCTTCCTTTGTTGTCTCCATTGAAGCCACCTGTAAGCAGTTAGTTCTGCAGATGACACTCAGCTGAGGGTCAAGACACAAGTGTGATAACCAGACATTTTACAAAAGGCCATCCCCTGTTACCGGCCTATGACATTTCCTATCACAGGCCCTTACCACAAGAATAAGAGGAACCTCTCTGAATCCAAAACATGTCAGTGACATATTTTAAATAAAAACTTCCCATCTAGCAATTAAGCAAAGAGAGACAAAGGAGAATATTCTTAAATACTTCAAGCCTCTTCCAATAAAGGAAGGACATGAACTCTAGCCAATATTTTATGAAGTCACATGGGATTTGGGTTTTGCTTTTTATTGAATAATGCTAAATGCTCAATTGACTCAAAATTTATTAAGCTGCTTGCAAACAGTTAATACACTTTGCACTTACCCTGTGTGGATAACTTCTTTTAGCTAACTGTAGAATTAGCATTTGGAACACAGTACCTATGACCTAGTTTTGCAAAACAACCAGCCAAGCCCCCCTCGCCCTCGCAACAAAGCACCAAACAAAACCAAACCCCCAAACCTCTAGATTTTACCTCCTCCTTACACATCATTAACAACTCCATTCTTTCAAGAAACCTCAGAGTCATCTGCAACATCTCCCTTAACCTTTTGTTCCCTTGGATCACAAGCATTCATTCCTTCCTTTTTTAATTTGTGCTCTTTCAAACCTATACTGTGCTTGACTGATTTTTCATAAAACATAACCTTTTTCTGCTCTTTCCAAATCTTGGTATTTGGCTTACCAGTATAGCAGAAATGCCCAAGTTAGAAACAATCTCATGCTCTTGCCATTCTTTCCCTCCTTCTTTCAAATTTCTTTGGGCTTCTGCCTTGACACAAAAAGTTCAAGCTTCTTATCTCTACCTTTAAAGAAACAACAGACTTGCTGACATACCAATTGTAATGTTATGCTGTTTCCCTCTGTATATTTCTCTGAATCCTCTTCTGCATCTGTTCTCCTCTGTCCCTTCTCATGCTTGGTTTTATATCATTTCATTGCAAACCTTGCAGTTGGAACAACTACATTTTTTCTGTCAGCAACACAGTCTTCTCTCTCAAGTCTCTCTATAATCACTTCTGCATCAGTTTCCATGCCAGTTGTATTCCCTTACAATCCATATATACTGTTATCTTCCAATATATCAAAATATTTGTCTGATTTAAACTGATTAGGATAGAGGCTATGGGCCATATTTAACCCTTGGAAAATTCAACTAAGTTGATGAAATTATACTAGGTATGAATCTGGCCTCATTTTTTCAGCATTTGTAAATCCCCACATACATCTGTGAGTCAAAACAATCCTTTGGCAACTTTCCACGATCTCGTTTCATTTGCTTGTCATATAGGGACAGAAAGCACTCATCTGAATGATATGGCGGTTGTTATCCAGGGCTTTATTCTGATTCCCATGGCTTAGATTTGAAATATGCTTTTGATAGGATTCCCACTGGGGTGTTAAGGGTGTTAATCAATACTGGCAGCAATTCAGACCTCAGTGGACTTACCACATCTATCCTATCATCCCATCAAATTTTAATCAGGATTTAATGGCTTTGCTAAATAAACTTTTCTCATCAGCTGAGTATAGATGCAATATCTGAGTAGTTGCCATTGCATTTATGCAGCCCTGCAAATGCCCTGAGAAAATGTTTTTTTCATTCAGCTACTGTTTGTTTTTGAAAACCTTATGTACATGAAAAATTGTCCTCCTGTTACAGACCTTTCAAAAGTACTGACGTATAATGGGCCGGTGAAGAGGGTCAGTTACAGTAGGGGAGGAAGGATGATATCCTTAGTGTCTCTCATTGCTTTTCATCCTTAGTTTCCATCTCCAGCGTGCACTAGTTCAGTGCTTTTCTACAAGCCCATGCAATTTTTCTTCTTCAGAAGATTTTTTCCCTTTTACCTTTTGGAGGCATGATCGTTGAAGTTTTCTGTATTGTTTCTGGACTTTTGTCTAGTCTAAAATCCACTTCTTTATTTGCCATATGAGTCAGAGTACTTTTATGCCCTTATATTCTGAGAAGCGTACAGGATTTGCTACAGGTCTAAATATTTTACTGCAGATGATTTAGCTCTTATTTTAGATGGAGAATAGCATTGAAAATGGTGTGTCCATGTCTAACCGAGATCATATTCACCAGTGACAGTTCCTGCTGGTCACAATATGAAAGATACAGCTTTTGCTATGCATTTATTCTTACTATTGTACCATGTAAATGGTATGACTTTATCAGGATGAATCTTGCAAAATTCAAGTTGCAACTTGGTATTTCCTGGAAGTATAACTTGTGCTTCATACTACCATGTTGATTGCACTCAGGTTTATATTACTGATACTGAATTAGGTTAACTGTCAATTTCTTCTTTCATCAACTGTTAACAGGATTCCATACAACTACTAATACCTAATTTCATTAAAGGTAATATATAAAAACCTGAAATGAGTTCATTTTAAATGCTACTGTGTGATCCTACACAAGAATCTCTCAACCTTTTCAACCATTAAAAACACGGGAAACCTTTTTGTTATTTAAAAAATGTTGCAAGATGAAGCTTTTCCAAAGCTTATTTTAGGATGCAACAGCCACACTCAAATCTGGACTGAATAGCAGCAGTAGCCTTGCAACCTGTGACCCTGTTTTCTTTACTCAGCTACAGCAATAAGAAAGGGATGCCCTGGCATAACCAAGTGTCCCTGCCC